TCTCTGCTCGTCATCAACAGAAAGACACATTTGGAGGTGCGTCGACAGATGAGAGAGCACGGAGACGGTCCCTGGTTCCAAGTGCCCACCCTCGACAAGAAAATCGTTCTGAGAGGACACATGGCATCACCTGACGAATAAAGTTATCAAATCTTACTGTTTGTACATGTTTCCCTTCTTACCTAATAAAGTATCTATGTACGGTAGTCATTTTGTTTGAGTGTCTTTACTGGTTTCAAACACAAGTGAGTTTGTTTTTGTGTCATTTCTCCACAAGTCTACCAGTTGAGAAAATCTAAAAAAAAAATGGAGTAAATTTGAGTTTGTCCCTCGCTATTTATTGCCACTGTATTAGTATAGAAGGACATTGTACAATGAGGCAAACAAGTATTTTGTCAGCCACTGAGTGAAAGTTCTTCTTAGATGAGGTTTGTAATTTTCATCATTGGTACACTTCAGCTATTGGAGACAAAATGAGGAAGAAAAAAAAAATACAGGAAATCACGTTGTAGGATTTTTAAAGAATGTTAATGTAAAATACTTTGTAACATAACCTTTGTTGATTCAAAAATTTTCAAGACAAAAAAAACCTTTGTTAACCTTTGTTGGCAACGACAGAGTTCAAACATTTCCTGTAAGTCTTTACCAGGCTTGCACACACTAGCTGGTATTTTGGCCCATTCCTACATGCAGAGCTCCTCTAGAGCAGTGATGTTTTGGGGCTGTCGCTGGGCAGCACAGACTTTCAATTCTCCACAAATTTTCTATGGGGTTGAGGTCTGGAGACTGACTAGGCCACTCCAGGACTTTGAAATGCTTTGAGCCACTCCTTCGTTGCCCGAGCGGTGTGTTTGGGATCAGTGTTCTGCTAGAAGACCCAGCCATGTACCATCTTCAACGCTCTCACTGATGGAAGGAGGTTCTGGCTTAAAATCTCATGATACATGACCCCGTTAATTCTTCCCTTAACATGGGTCAGTCATCCTGTCTCCTTTACATAAAAACAGCCCCAAAGCATGATGTTTCCCACCCCTATGCTTCACAGTAGGTATGGTGTTCTTGGGATGCAACTGAGCATTCTTCCTCCAAACACAACGAGTTGAGTTTTTACCAAAAATTTATATTTTGATCTCATTTTACATAAATAGCTTCCTTCACCCCCTTAAACCATCTGTCTTCTCGGTCTAAAATGTGAACATTTTGGTCCTCAAATGATCGTGCCCCTTATCCTTGAGGTGCAGGTGACCTGCTGAGTCTTGTCCTGAGGAGCTGGCTCTCCTGTGTTGAGCCATGCATCTGTGAAGTAACTGTTTGGTTTCTATAGAGATCTGGACATTCGTCGCTGCCACTTTCACACTTATCAGGAATTTCATCCATGTGACCAGAGTGGCCCATCTGAGTGCCTGGACTACAGGAACCTCCTGAGATTTAACCTCAAATGCAGACAGAATGGTACCTTTCCCAAGAGTCTGGAACTCGAATCTTCTGTCAGCGGGCACCGGACAAGCAGGCACAGCTGCTGGATGAAAGGGGGAGACAGCCCAATTTCCGCCTCTTACAATATGGCTAGTATCACTCAGCCTCTGGGAATAGTAAGCAGCCATCAGGGCATTAACGACCAATTGTTAGGCTGATAGTCCTCCTTTATCATGTGAACCGCTAGTTTTGAATGTCAACAACAAACTGGTTCATCCACTATGGTGCTATTTTGAGATTTTTCAGTCAGGTTTTAAACAACTACAGAGCACCGACAGCTATAAGGGTTTGTAATGACCTTCTGCTAGCGAATGACTCTGTGTGATCCTGGTACTCCTCGTCCTCCTTACCGCTGCATTCGACACTGTTGACCACATTATCTTATGTCACGGCTAGAACACTGGGTTGGGATTACGGGTGTAGCGTTAGAATGGTTCCGTTCATTTCTGAGTGACAGGAGTTTTTGTGTTAATTTTGGCAATCATTTATCTGCTTCTAACCCTCTTTCCTGTGGGGTTCCTCAAGGCTCCATTCTTGGACCCCTTCTGTTATCGTTGTATCTGCTTCCCTTGGGGTCTATCCTGAGGAAACATGGTATTTCGTTTCAATGTTATGCTGATGATTCTCGGATTTATTTGCCCTTAAAACCTAACAGTTCCTGCTCCGTTCACCCTTTGCTAAAATGTCTTGATGATATTCAAGACTTGGATGGCTTCAAACTTCTTAAGTTTTAATGATCAGAAAACTGAGGTCATTGTGTTTAACCCTAGCTCTGCCACCGTCTCTGATCCTGTAAACCTGCACTAGCCACGTCTAAAGCAGTCTGTTACCAACCTCGGGATAGTTTTAGATTCAGATTTTAAGTTTAATAAGCAGATCAACTCTTTTCTACAAAACAAAGCTTCTTTCAGCTAAGGCAGATAGCTAAGTTCTGTCCAGATCCGATCTTGAAAAATTAGTCCATGCATTCATTACAACCCGGCTGGACTACTGTAACTCACTTTATGTTGGGGTCAGTCTGGCTTCCCTCTCGCATCTCAAGCTTGTCCAAAATGTTGCAGCTCGGCTTTTAACAGGAACTCGCAGGTTTGAGCACATTTCACCGGTTCTGTCCTCCCTTCACTGGCTTCTTGTGTGCATCAGAATCAATTTTAAAATTCTACTGCTGACATTCAAGTGCATTAACGGCCTCGCACCTTCATCCTCTCTGACCTACCTTATACTCCTTCTCGGGCTTTGAGATCATCAGACCAGCTGCTTTTGGTTGTACCAAAAACCAGGTTGAAGCTCAGAGGAGATGGAGCCTTTTCAGTCGTGGGCCCTAAACTCTGGAACAATCTGCCCATCAACATTTGACAGGCCACCTCAGTCTCTGCTTTGAAAACTGAGTTTATCACAGCTCCTCAGACTGATGAAGTCTTTTGGATTAAAGATGAAACGTTTCATCTATTCTTTTTTTCTTTTACTTTTTGCACCAGGATCTGACTTAAATTTGTTAGATTTTTCTACTTGGATTATTGATCATGCATCATTGATTTCTAGTATTATTATTTTTTAAATTCCTTTTATGTAGGCTTCTGTTTTCTTCAGTGATCATCGTGGTCTTACACTTTTGGACACTTGCGGACACAACACTTAAAAAAAATAAAAACAAACAAACAACAACAACAACAACAACAACAACAACAACAACAACAACAACAACAACAACAACAACAACAACAAAACAGATTATGAGTTTTGTGTTCTTTCTAAAAAAAATCCTGGTGGTCAAAGTTGAAAAACTCATTCTGTAATTTCTTACCCCTGAATGTTTTTGCTCTTGTTCTTGAACCCAAATAAAACGTACCATGCACATTCTTCAACAGATAAGTGATGCAGAATGATTCTAAATCTGAGCCAATATTTATGCATTTGCAACACTAAAATACACGGTTTTGCTGTTTTTGAACACTGAGCCCGTGCAGTCTTCAGGCTGCTTCTTTAAAACCTGTTGTTGTTGTTGTTTCTTTTTCCTGAATGCAGGACAGGAAAAACATGATGTGTCTTTATTTACCATCAGAAATGGGAGTGGCCCTGTCGGTAAAATACGGGGGGCAGAGCAGGGGAGCCAATAGAAGCCGTGAAATTTCTGCGCAGGTCTACGTTTTCCTATTTTCCCCAAGAAGAAGAAGAAGAAGGAAAAAAAAATCTACAAAAGACGGAACCTGCGCGCGCTCTTCCACTCTTCTCCCTGTCATTTTATTTGGACGCTGCTCTGCGTCACACCGCCCCTGGCCCGGAGGAATGTGGAGGCTTTAAAAATAGCATCCTCTCCTCTGTCAGCGCTGCTCCGGAGGCTCCGCGGCACTCTGCTGGGAGAGGCAGGAAGATGGCTGCAGACCTGGGAGAGCTGCTGGTCCCTTACATGCCCACCGTCCGAGTCCCGAAAACAGGAGACAGGGTTTTCAAGAGCGAGTGTGCCTTCTCCTTCGACTCTCCCGTAAGTGGGTTCCCGCCTCACGCTGCGCTCACACGAGACACGAGGGGCTTGTGTGTGTGTGTGTGTGTGTGTGTGTGTGTTTAGGCGGGGAATGCGTTTCTCAGGCGGGTTGACAGTCGGACCAACACGCTGTCTGTGTCTCCAGACATGGTCTGAGGACAGGTGGAGGGGTTCCTTTGTGCGTTCAGGATACATTAGTCCAATAAACAAACGCACACCTGAGCGCAGAGGAACCTGCGGGTTTTATTAATGTCACCACACATCTAACCTTCTTCACACAAGCAGAAACATGGCGACTTTTTGTGCTAAATCTATTAAAGTCAGTCTGTGGGGAACACAATTATTGCTTTTTTTCCCCCCTTCCTTTCTGTTCATGTTTAAGACTTATTCTTTGACTAATCCCATGCATTTCATTTGCTGTCTGTTCCAAAATGTTAGGATCTAGTTGAATTTTTACCTGAGAGTGAGTGGCTTTAAAGCAAGGTTATTCAACTGGCGGCCCGAGGGCCAAATCAGGTCCACGGGTGTACTCTGTTCGGCCCACCAGTGGGTTAATTTTTAAATAAATCTGGATTTTAAATCGTAAAACAAATTTACTTAATGAGATTGACTGCTGGATGTCCGGCCCCTGAGCTCTTGGCTTTCAGTAACGTGACCCCCCCACACCCCCAGCAGTTTAGTTGAATAACCCTGCTTTAAAGCCTTGTAATTGGGGCAGTAACTGTGGATATGTGGTTAGAGCAGTCATCATCCAATGGGAGAGTTGGGGGTTCGATTCCACTAGCTGTCCCATGTTGACGTGTCCTTGGGCAAGACACTGAACCCCTCATTGCCTCCTACGTGTGTCCCTTCAGTGTATGAATGTGATTTAAAGCACCAGTGAGCCTCTTTAGAATGATTTGTTCAAGTAAAGGTCTTGTAGAGTGCTGCATGAATGTATGTGTGTGTGTGGAGGTAAATGAGGGCACAGATTGTGTTGTAAAGCACTTTAAGTATCTTGATTAGATAGAAAGGTACTACATAAGTACATTTCATTTACCATTTACCTTTTAATTGTTCTGAATGTCAGTTTTCTTGTGCTCAGAAAGCTTTCCTGCCTCACTATCTTGACTGAAGTGATTTTTTTTTTAAAGGTGACTCAGCTGTCTGGAGTTCATCATGCTAGCCTGAGGACTGTTTTATTTTTATCCTTGCACTGTTGAAGCTCATATGTCACTCTGGACCGTTTAAAGGTTTAACACTGGGTTTTATAAAGCCTGCACTGACTGCAGACTTAAGACTGGGTTTTGAAGAAGTGCTTTCCTGTTGTTTGGTTTCTGAGTCCACATGTGGATGCAGCAGGATGGATTCTTTATTTTTTTTTTTGCTTCTACAAATGAAAGTGGTTGAAGTTGTCCTGCTTGAAGCTTCTTAAAGTGAACCACAAGTTGTGTTGACTTACAAATGCAGTACCGGTAAACTGCCCTCCTTAGTTTCAGTAAACCCATCTGTGATTTTGAAGCAAAGTCTGCAAATCCTCATGGCTTCAAAAATGAATTTCTCTTGTTACATTCTCTAAAGTGATGTCATTAAATTAACATCAACACTTCAATATGACACATAAAGTCAGAGAGAATTATTTTTTTTTATCTAGATTTACATGACATGTAAAGGAAGACTTGTTACAGTAAAATGTTGCTTTCAGTAGCAGCTTTGTAGCTAAAAGTTACAGTTCTGCTACATTTTTTTGCTAGTGTGACATATATATATATATAGATATATTACATCTTCTGTTTTTGTGTGTGTGTGTGTTTTGAGACAAGCATTCTGCTGTTGGTAAAAAAATAAAATAGTACATTATGATACATGTCTGATGACTAAAACAGCTTTGCTTTAGATCAATGATGTTGTGAGTGACATTGTGTTAGCTCTCATTTTTGTTTTGGCCTCACTATCACTGTTGTTAATGCAGCAATTTTTTTCTGCACTTCGTTTCAAGCAAATACCAGTATTTGTGACTTGGATACATTGCATTACAACCAGTCAAAAACGACCCCGTTTTCAGATAAACTTGTCAGGAATTTACCATGTTTTCCACACGTCTTTGTAGTTTCTCACCTTTGCTCTGCTCTTATTATTGCTCTTGTTTGTTTTGGTCTGCAGGAATCTGAGGGAGGCCTGTATGTGTGCATGAACACATTCCTGGGCTTCGGACGTGAGCACGTGGAGAGACATTATCGCAAAACAGGACAGAGCATTTATATGCACCTCAAACGACACGTCAGAAAGGTAAGATTAGCAACTGCTCTTCATCTTTTACAGGATGCAAGAAGTACAGGTTGAGTTAAATTGTCAGCTGTAGGAAGAAAACAACTCTGTTTGTACAACTTTAAAATTAGTTTAACAATCTTTACAAAATAATTGGTAAATGATAAAAAAATGAAAAACACATTTCTATGCTCTGTTTCAAAACAAAAGACGATTTATGAAATTGATCTGAATATAGCACCTCCAAAACAACAATGCTGCAATGCAACACAGTATTTTAAGTTTGTTTGTATCAAAGTGGACATAACAGGAACATTAACCATTATTGTTCCATCTGAATTAACAACCACAAAGTGATGCACACTGTAACACATTGTGATCAGGGCTTAATTTGCAAACAGATCGATGCTGGAATACAAATAGCGGGCGGGCTGTCTGGTAGGTGGGGTCTGGGGGTCCTCCTCCAGAAAATTTAGAATAAAGTAGATGCAATTTCCTGCATTTAGATATATTTTAACGGGTTGTTAAACATCTACGTTTACCTAAATTTGTAAACACTCGCATCCTACCCCCCCCCCCCCTTACTTGATGGTTCCGAGCTGACTCATTTCCGTTGAATTTACTGTCCGACTCCATATCTGAAACCTCCAGGCACTCACCACCACTCTTTTAGGGGCAGAGATTTTTTTTAAGGGTAGAAGCGGAAATGCTTCACTTGAAGGGGCAGCTGATCATATGTGATGATAATAATAAGTCGTGTTGTGTCGTCTGTTGTGTTTAAAATGAGTGTTTATGTAATTATTTTCAGTTTATATAACCAGTATAAGTGTTATTCATTCAAAGCAGTCATATTTGTTCACAACTTTATTATTAGTAAGCCTGAGAGTTACCAGATCCAAACAAACAGTTGCCGGAACGCACCCTGTCAAAATAAGAGAGTTCCCGCATCCTGTTCTGGCAGCATCCGACTCAAATTAAACCCCGATTGTAATAGTATAGTTTTGTTGATTTGATGTCTGTGTTCATTTTTGACATTTGAAGCGACCTTACGCACTAACTTTATTATGACGTATTTTTAGTTTTGGTCCGTTGCCTTGAGTAAGCCTGTCACAATAACAAATTTTGCTGGACAATTAATTGTCTCAAAAATTAAACTATAATATTGTTTGAAATTTGACAATAATTAGTAATTATTGTCAAATGAAGGTCCCCTCCCCCTCCCTCCGAGATCGGCCTGTTTGCTTAGCTCGTAGCTTAGCTTCTCAGCTTAGCTGCTTTTAACCATCCAAAAACGTGATTTTGGATCGTTAAAATTGATTTTAAAGAGAAAGGGAGGTGTTAGTGAAGAACACCGGAGTTGAGCTTTTTGTCATCTAGTGTCTTCAGTATAAATGAAAATGAGGTTGATAATTTTCATTTATCATGCGATTAATTGATTTATTGTTTATTGCGATAGGCCTAACCTTGGGTCTATTTAGCAACCTAAAATGGTATTGTTGTGAAAAAAAGTGAAACGACAAAGTTGCTGCTGTGTTTTTTATTTTTTCCCTCACTGGCTCTAATTGCCATCAGATTGGCTCTGCTTTGAAAAGCGTTGCTATTTCCATGCCCTGATCGGGCCAGAAACAGCTGCTTACATTCTGCAGGCTCCTGCGTCTGCTCTTTTTTTTTCGGTCCATTTGGTCTCGAGTGTGTCAGCACTCTCACTCCTTCAACTCCGTTTGGCCCCAGACCTGTTGGTGGCACTGTGAATACGTCCAGCCATATTTTATGGAAATTTACAGACATTGTCGTTTTGTTTATTCATATAATGAATCACAAATATATGTGTTGGATGATTTTCTTTAAATGTTCTTTGGGACAGGATGTAGTGTAAAGAGAAATTAGGATGAAACGAAAGGCAACAGATGACACAGCAGGCAAAGACAAGTCCAAACACGTTAAATGTACTGTAAATAGTAAAAACATGTGCATCTAAAGCAGTTCAGTTATTCAGCGTTTAATTTTGACCTGACGCTGAGAGGGATTTTCCATTGGCCTGTAACCTGACCTGGCAGCTGGTTCATCTACCAGCTAATTCTAAGGAATAACAACTATCTTGATCAGCTGCAGAAGAGCATTCAGTTTTCTTTTCTTGACAACCATTCAAGGTGCAAAATTATATGATTTTTATTGTGAAGAGAAGGGTCTGGTTCAGTTTTATACCCTTCCTGTGTCTTGCAGAAAGCCACAGGAGCAGCAGGAGGCGCTATCCCCAGACGAAGGAATGGGAAAGTGTTCCTAGGTAGGTGACAGACACGCCTACTGTATTTACATTTCTTATCTATTTCACAGTGTGGGGGGGGGAAACATTCCATTCACAAAGCTACTAGAGTAAAAACAAATATTATCAAGTCATTATTCAGTCGCTCAAACCTCATTTGAACAATTTTACAGTTAACAAAGCAGCATGTCAGCTCATTATCCCCACCTTCAGGAGAGGAGTGTGAAACTGAGGTAAACGTGACAAACACAGCCTCATTAATATAATCTGTCACTGTTGCTCTCATTTGCAATATATTTATTAAAATGAAATGGAAAAAGGTAAATTAATTACAAATAAAGCACAATATTTATCTGTGTAGGTATTGTATGTTAGAACTGGTAAACTGTGCAGCTTCTGTTGTGTGTGTTCACTGAGGAGGAGGAAATCAGAGTTTTAGTCTCGTTGGGCCAAATTAAAGAATGATAATGTCAGATTTCCAAGTGTGTTAGTATGAAACCATTACTTTAGATTGATTTTGTAGTTAATTTTGTTCTAAATTCAATAAAAGTGTGTAACTTCTGATAAGAAATTAATATCAAAGCAAACAAACAAAAAAAGCAGGCAGAGTTGGAATACGCCACGACCAGTTACTCTTTTGAGGTAGCTGGTAGTGACTTTAGATATCAATACATATTTTATTAAACACAGAAAAAAAATGTGATACATTCACTTTATTACATGCAGACTTCTTTGAAACTCATATTGTGACAGAGCAGGTACACCTACATCATCATAATTTAAAGCAACGTTGCATTGTTTTTGGTGCCTTATTTTAACTAAAATAAGAACACTCCAGAGATTGTACTATGGAAATCTCACTGTCATTTAAGAAGTGTGAAAGGAGAATTTACCGGAATTTTAAAACAAAATCAGTCTGTCAGGTTGATCAAAAATTGTCAGTTAAATCTGTCAGGTGCATAGAAAAATATATACATAAGCAATCTTCTGGTATCCAACACTGTTGGCACAAACACAGCAAGGTTATGCTTACATCGGCCATGTGGTCAAGATGAATGTATTTGCAGCTAGATCTGAGCTAGGAAGTGGGTAAATGTGCCATTTTTAAAGGTGTCCTCACTTTAAGTACTCTGATAATGTACCATAAGATAATGTTATGTCACATTTAGTTCTTAATCATGTTAAATTTAAGAGCTTGTTGTCCAAAGTTACCAGAGCAGACCTGCAAAGTCACTGATGGTAAAAGGAAAGAAGCGGGTAATAAGTGAAACATCCATAACCACAATCGAGTCCAATCCTGATTACTAAACTTTTAGGAATATTATGACCAGTATTACTTAAAATTCTTCAAAGCATAAATGTACCAAGGCAGAAGTACAAACGGCATAAAGAGAATCCTGCGGGTTCCTAAACATTCACCCATACTGCATCTACCCAGTAGTTGGTGACAGGAAATCACTCACTAATAAATCAACACTTGAACTGCTGTGTCTTTTATTCATGGCTGGAAACAAAGTAAAGATCTTTATTTAAAAGCAGCTCTTACAGCTTTTACTGTTTTGGTAATTTAAAGTTCGTTTGATCATTGGAAACAGACATTTATGCTAAAACAGGCTCTTCCGTTTTGACTGTGTTGTTGTTTGTTGCCTACAGCTGCTGCTCTAGCCAGCCTTTACCCAAAGTGTAAGATATTTCTAGTGATGAGCCCTTTCTTCCAGCCCCTGTTCTCTAAATTGAGCCCACTTATTTATAAATGTGGTTGGTAACTGTTCTAAATCAAAGCCTGGCCCTCCCCCCCTCTGGTTGGGTAGGGGTTGGTTGGTTTATAGTTGGGGTCGCCTCCCGTCAGTCGCTGCGGTCCTCTCAGCTGCCACCACCTGTCAGCGTCCTGTCGAGGCCGCCACGCTTCGATTGAGGCGATGACGCAGCTCGCCGAGGCCCAGGTGTCTTCCTCTCCTTCCTCTCTGCTGGAGGAATTCCTTCCACTCATTCTCTGCACAATTGATTTCTATTTTTCTTTTACATTCTTATTCCTCCATTCTCACTTTTGTATATCGTTTTTTTTTTTTTTTTTGGTCAGTTTTTTAGGACGATTCTTGTGCCTTTCCCTTTTAAAACTACTGATGTGGTCTGTATCAAACGTCATACTCATACCAGTTCAATGATCCAATCAAACTATTCAACACTCGCTAATGTGTTGCCATTAAATTGGTGACCGTAATAACACAGTCAGAAATAACTTGTGACCCTGTTTTTCATGAGTCACTGTACAACATTATGCTGCAGCTGGAAACTGACAGCTCTAAAAGTGCAGTGATTTCTTAGATGTATGCGCCAGGAAAGCTTTCTAGGAATTAATTAGGTCATTTTTGCTGAAATGTTTGGTCATTAAATCACTAAATCGAAACCCAAGAAAATGTGTTGAGGGGAAAAAAAAAGTTAAACAATAAGTGTTTTCCTTTAATATTTAGACTGAAGAAGTCGTGTTCCATTGTTTGATGGTGTTACATGGAATATTCAACAGATAGAAAACAGAAAAAATATTTTATGTTTTGCAAAGTATTTTCATCTGTTATTTATTCCTCTAAAAACATTTTTGATAATCAAACAACCTTCAGTAAATTAAGTTGCAGATTAATTAAAAAGGAACAAAAATGAACCCTCCTGGAGTTGTACAGGATGATTTTTATAAGTTATTTGTGATGCTGCATTCTTTGACTGTTAAGATGTTGTTGAAGAACCACCCATTCATATTTAGAAAATAAAAAGAATCAAGAATAAACCTTGACATTTTGTTCTACTACCTGTGTTTTTATTAGCTGTAAATGCCTTGGTGCTGCTAACGTTTGCTTTCTCTCTTAAAGATTTAGAGTTAAACCGTGATTTTAATGGAGACGACTACGAATACGAAGATGAGGCCAAGCTCGTCATTTTTCCAGACCACTTCGAGATTCCTTTACCAAATATTGAGGAGTTGCCTGCTCTGGTTAGTAAGCTGGATTTGTGTGTTTTTGTGCATGATGAGGGGGAAGGTGCACTCGGTCGTTCTCTGCTCTCAGGACAGGCAGGCCATGTATGGGTTTTGTTGTATTTGGTGTCAAACCTGAAAAAGACTCACAAAATGTTTTTAATAAAAATTTGAACAAAATAAACCCTACTCAGAACAAGAACAAAACAGTAAAAATGTACCATTTAAAATGATTCAAGTATATAAAAAAAGTAATTTTAGCAATGATTGAGGTCATTCTGTTGTAGCATTTAAACCTTATATATTGCATCAGTTTTAAATTTTGTCATAATTTTATTAGCTGAACAACGCCCAGACAGTCATTCCACTTTTATCCCTGTTCTGAGACGATGTTTGTTTAAATTTCTTATGAGAATTATTTAACTCAAACTGAGAATGAGATGATGGCTGTCTACTGCAGGTAAGACACTGATTCTTCGTTCTGCATTCAACTTAAGTAATTTCTTTAGAAAAGCTGCTATTTTGCTCAGATTTAAATTGTGTAATATTTATTTTGAGCATTTTATTCTTTTACATTCAGTCTAGAATGTTCCTTACTTTTTTTTATTGGGGGAGTGGTGGTGCAGAGGTTAGAGAAGGTGGGCCTGTGATCGGA